ACTATAAAGGTAAAGGTTTCCCTTACACATATGTGCTAGTCATTCCCGACTCTAGCAAGCAGTGCTCATCTCGGTTTCAAAGCCAAAGAGCCAGCACTGTCCGAAGACATCTTTGTGATCATATGGCTGGCATGACTAAACGCCGAAGGTGCACGGAATGCTGTTACCTTCCCACCAAAGTGGTCTTTATTTTTCTACTTGCATTTTTTACATGCTTTTAAACTACTCGGTTGGCAGAAGTTGGGACAAGTAACGGGAGTTCACTCTGTTAAACGGCGCTAGGGATTCGAACTGCCAACCTTCAATCGATAAGTTCAGCGTCTTAGCCACTGAGCCACTGCATCCTTTCATTACACTACATGAACACTTTATATGCAATTAAACAAAGCATATTAGAAAGGGTCATTTATGTGATCCCAGTTTGCTCTTTCTATAGTGCAGTTGTCTCCCTGTCTCTTAGGAACGTTCTTTGGAAAATTCAGATTCAGAAGTCCTTCAGAAGTTCAGATTACTTCCTGGTTATTTTTAAGATGTGGGAAGGAACAGTTAATGATTTTCTATTAGTGAATTTTTTGATTTGGGTTTGGAGGCTTTCAAATGTTTTATTACATTACTGGAGTCTCGCTGAATACCAATGATTTAGTGTCCTTGACTATGAATGTCTCTTTCTTTCCTCCAGAGCGCGGAAGATTCCTATAATTATCCGCAGGTACCTGCCGGATGGAAGTTATGAAGACTGGGGTGTAGATGAACTAATTATCACAGATTAAATCTCTTCCGTGCTCCAACTTTTATGGATATATATATATATATATATTGTGTAAATAAATACAAAATCCCCCTACAAATGTCTTGGATGTTTCCTTTTTACATAAAATAATGCTAAAGAAAACCAGCAGCCTGCCTGTCTTGCTCTCTTTCTTTTTCTCTTTTTAGTGCTGTTATAGCTCAGTCTTACATTGTCTTGAAGATCCAGTAGGTTTAATTCTGTTGTTGTTTTTGACAAACCAACTTGCTGCCTTTCAAATGCTATAAATGCAAACTAGAAAGATGGTGCAGGAGAAGCTTCCTCAGTGTTGTATCTAATCATCGTGCTATGCGCAAGTGATTTTAAAGTGATCTTGCAGCTGCCAAACTTCCAGATGCCCTTTAAGACAACTGAAAGACCCCTTTGCCTTCGACCTACGCTTTTTTCCAGGGGCCTGTAGTAGACGAGGCATTTCTGTTGCTTGCTACCAAACAGACATGCCTTTGTGCCTGGGAACAAGTTGCCTTGGAAACCCCCAATTTCCCCTCTGATCAAGGCTGGTTCTCTGGGCTTCTCAGGAGTATCACAGAGCAACTCTCATCAAATCTCCCATTGTTCCTTTTCCTGCCCTGACTTCTTATCAATCAACAGGATCCCCTTACAGTGGGCTGTTCTACAGTAAAAAAGCATAGTTGCCTTGATGAGCTATCTAGCGAGAGTCAGCTTGACATCTGTAATCTATGCTTTATGGTACCTATGTCTCAGTACATTTCTTTCCCACCCTGTCTGTTATTAGTCTGACTGTAAGTGCATGCTCATATTGAGAAGAATTACACGATCCCTAAAATATCAGGAAAATAACTTTTAAACTTAGGTAAATAAGCAAACTGTATTGCAAAACAAAACTCCAAATCCACTGTGCCACCCAAATGGTCAAAGATAATATTTTAAAAGTACTTTTGCAATGAGAAAAAAATTATGCTTCTAAGAAATCTACTTTTTGCAACAAACACTCTTTTTTTGGAGCTTTCTAGAACTAATGTATTGTCAGCATTGTGTCAAACCTCCAACTAGCATGTCCTGAAAAATGAAGTCCAAGGCATCCATCCTTTTCAAATCCATTTTATTAGGCACACATTAAATTGGCAAGGACTCGGTGTAATTCCGACTGAAACCGGATCCGGAATTACATCCAATAAAAGCAAAAGTTTGAAACTTCCCCCCCCCCACCCCAAGTCACACACTCCAATCAATCCTCAGTCCAACACCCCGATAGACTGTAAGGATATTT